CTCAGGATGAGTTTCGCTTGTTCTCCTGTATAGCCGACACGGAAGCCTGCCTGCTCCTCGCAGCAGCTGCGAGCCTCTCAGCCTCGCGACCAATCAGAGCACACTGGGCTCACAGGGAGGGGGGTCAGGAGCTCCAACAAGCCGTTTAGGACAGAGTGAATACCGGTGAATACACATACTTTACAGAGATGCTGTATGAGAAACCAATGTGAGTTTGGAAAATTGCACAGTATAAATCTATTTTAGTATACCTCAACAATGGAATTATGATCAGTAGAAATGGCCATGACATGGGATCTTTAAGTCTGGCTGGTAAAAAAAGTTATTTGTTGACTTTGTTTGGAGTCTGACTGAGACAAATTACTAATGAAAACTACAGGTGTATAAAAACAATTTGGGGCTTAATTAGTTTGGCTTTGTGACCCTTGAGTTTGTTCTCACTCATTAAGCAATAAAAACACCTCATCAACACAATGACCATACAGTTAGACCGGCCCATATTAAGCGTCGTAATGGCTTTTTCTTGTTCAGAAACACTTTTAAATGTCCAAAGGGATTTAAAGTCTGCAACCAACACAGCAATTAAGGACTATGGTGTCTGCATACAAAAGGGGATTTGAAGGAGAGGCGAAGAAACATGGAGTACTTCAACATTATTGCTTAGTAAATGAAAATTGACTTATTTGCATTGATGATTTATTATTGTACTAATGTAAACTGCTAAATCACAAATAATGAGAACCAGTCAAAAATAACCATGCACATTGCTTGACATGCTGTTGTAGCACAGTACAGCTTGTTTTCTCCCATGTTTCCTCCCTGCAGTGTTTTTGTCCCGGCACTCAATACTGGACGGAACAGCTGCCACCTGTGCATGTAAATCCCAATATGTTTATTACACATCCTGTCTGCACCGGGCTTCAGGGTAGACTCCTACCTCTTAGGTGAAGTAGTGTTCTGCATCCTTATTTGAAAACTGACGATGCCAACTGAGCCCTTTTCTGAACTCACAGAGACACACACTAGCCTTCCCCCTGACATAAAGAAGTTGTTGCAAAGCCTCGTGCAGAGACAGCCAGAAAGTGGAAACTTTCTACAGTTTTCTAACATTTCTAACATTTCTAACTTTCTAAATGTTCTTGTTGGGATGTTATTAGTTTTTCTTGCAAAGTTGTTCTCTGCAACTCAAGGTCCGCACTCGGCTCGTCACAGACATCTTTGACAGCCACTAAAGTTGGTCCCTGGAAAGTTGATTTGAAAGATTTAGTAGTAAAAGAGATAACCTTCAATTACATGGTTAGGTGTTTAATAAAGAGACACCATCACAATCTTAACAATTGGCTGGGAATAAAGCTAGGTGTGCAAGTGTGACTTCAACTTTATATTCAACACAAGTTCGCTGTAGTACGTTCTAATTTTGTGTTACATGACTGCACTTCTCAGCCAATTCCCTCTCCCCGCCCACTTATGGCTTATGTATGTTATTAAACTATAACGACACTGGATGTGGCAGCAGAAGAACTGTGTGAAAAGGGAGCTCAACAGAAAAGGAGCAAAGAGGTGCTCTTTAATGCAATAATTTAATGCAAATTCAGTGCCGTTAGTGCCAAGGAATACTTACACCCTTCAAGAGAGCTTTTGAATTTGGCCTATAAACTACAGTATGTGATCATTTTATTAAATCATAATCTCATACTGGCACTTGACAATTACTTGTTTTCATGTACCAGAATATGTGAGACAACTGTTGACTTGAAGCCGATACAAGGACAGGTTTATTAACCACCTACTCTCTGCCTGCGGGACACATAACTTTCACTGACCTTTAGAACAATATAAATCTACTACATCATGTATTAGATGTATTTATCCATCAGTCATTCTTCTTTTCAGTCACTGTGGTATCCAACTGAAATCATGAAAGTGCGATTTGTTCATTTATTCATTCACATCCATAAATACAAGTAAACAAAAACACACATTGTACCTATATCAGCTAAAGCAAAAAAAAGCTAAACTCAGTTAGTATTTACTTAAATCTGATCAACCAGTGTCAACAAATATAAGACACAACAAACCAGTATTACTTAATTGGGCTGACTAGACAGACATATCGAGCATCAATAACCAGTACTAGGCATCCAACTATACAACACATAGATAGCCTGTATAAGAAAGGTCTGAGCTGACTACTCCCTGAGGAGGCTCAGGTCCTTCAATGTCTGATAGGGATGAATCATGTAAAGAGTCCTGTCACAGTGTGATGTTGGGAGCACCAAAAGAAGGCCAACAGACTGAATACACTTCTAAAGACGGCTGGGTCTGTCAATGTATCCAAGCTGGTCTCACTGAAGAAGATGGTAGAGGACAACATGCTGGCAAAGCTAGCTATCATGGATTAAACCTCCCACCCTTTGCACAGCCAAGTTCATATTGGAACACTTTAAACATTTGGAAAAGCACACTGTAATATTTTTCATATTGATTGACAACTTTAATTCTAACCTGTGTTTGCTTCATTGTCATCGATGCCTATTTATGTATCTCGCTGCGCTATGACATTTTATTTCAACTGCGGGAAGTAATAAGGTTAACTATCTATGAATATCACATCAGCTACATTAATCGAGCACAGATAATGGCATTCCTAAATACACTTTGAACATTTGAAGTATTCCCATGTTTCCCCTGTTTAATCCTTTTTGAGCATGTGCCCCCTGGACTTGAGGCCCCAGTTGTTCAAAGTTCAAAGATCAGGAGATGTCAGGGGAAAGTACCGCAAAGTGTTTCCTTAGCACAGGGAAGCATGGATCAGTGAGTCACTCAAATCCATTTACAGTTCTACACACTTTAACATGTATTTTGGTATTGGCTACCCTGACAACTATCTTTTTATTCTCAGTGGGTAAGCCAGTGGTCACCTGTATTTGTATCTGTATGTGTACAGGGAGGAAAAAATGAATATTGTAGAGTTCCTTCAAGGTGATCATTTTGAGTATTAACCTATCATGTTGCTAGGCTTTGAAAAAGACATTACACACGTTCTTACGCTCTTACCTACGTTGCACAGACAGATATTGTTGTAATAGCAAGGCTAAGAGGTGTGAGGCTTTGATTAGAACAAGACAATTTGTCATTGTCCGACTAAGGGGAAGAGAGTGAGAGAGGCGTTATGAAAATATCATTATAATCTCTGTAGTTGTAATGAATTATTGATTTGCTGTGAATCTGGATGGTGGTGTTGTGTTTTTGATAAACCAATTAATGACGTTGTTGCTCCCCAAAGCAAAAACCTGTGTAGGCTGTGTGCAGCGGAGAAGCTGTTGCAATATTGGTATTTGGCCCCGAAAATATCTCAGTACTTGGTTTCTATTTATTGGTTTTGCTCAAAAGGATTTATCACACTTTTAATAATGGCCTGAAAGCAGAAATAGTCCCGCTCCCATATCTTGTCCTGAATTAGACACATTGTAGAACAAATATTCATGTTTTTGATGATTGCTCAGTCCCAGCTGAAATATTTGTCAGAATTAAATCAACGGCATTTCCACTTTCTAAAATGCTCAACTCTGTAAAAAATAATTTGCTAAAATTACATTAGTTAAAGGCTTGGTCAAATCTGTATTTATTGCGTGACATTTGAAAGACGTGATACCTGCTCTAGGAAGTGTTTATGTTCACAAGATGGTCTTTTCACTAAAAACATTACAAAAAGCTAGTGGAAAAGTGGCCTTTCATAGTAGTCCTTCATTATGTTCAAGGTATGATGTTTAAATAAGACATAATATAACCAATATCCCTGAACATTTGATATGGTTTCTTTCCACGTCTGCTGTATGCACAAGCATGTACGCAATTCAGGAGAAGCCGACTTAATCTTGCATACTTTACTTTACTGTTTTAACTAATTCTAGTACCTTGATTCTGATTCTGATCATCTTAACAACCTCTGTTTACTGGATGTGGATCCTCATTTCAAGAATAAAGGATGATGGTGACACACAAGTTTATCCAGGCATTTACCACTTTGACATGTAGACCATGATATTGTTAAATATTGTATCGTTTTCTGGTTAAAAAAAGATCACATACCTATATGTTAATACTGGACTACATTTGGTTGAAAAGTTAACTTAAAGTAGCATATAGTCATGGTATAGACATCTTCCATTCACTGCAACATACTGTATTTCCAACACACACTAATCGTGGTAGTGTACTAAAGCCATCAAAGCTCTGCACATTCTGCATGGCAGCTGCCACGCTGCTCACCCTAAAGCTAAGCTGTCACTTGCTGCTCCGGCTGACACTGTTCAGGATTTCAAAAGCCCTACCTCTACAGAAGCATCCACCCAGATGGTATCATCGCTCTTCACTGCCAGCTCTGCCTTGCTTGATGCTTCCTTGTGTTGGAGGTCAGAGCCTTGACATCAATGCTGTATATATTATCATTCACATAATACTGACTTGGCTAACTTAACTACAGTCCAATATGAAGCACATGTTGAGGTTAAGCATTAAAATACCATTGAAAGAATGTAATGTAACCTGGACACCTTAAAAAACTCACTTGTCAACTATTTTTATCCTGGTTTTAACCTTGGCATAGAGGTTATATATTTGCAGATTTGTTTTGTGGAGTTGTTGACACTGAATGACACATAGGTCTGAATACTGTCAAAAAGGTTGGCATGAAAAATATGAAGCCTGCTGCCTGTATGTTTACACTGAGACCCAGGGTCCTGTCTCCTGTCTGTCCCTGACACTTACAGTTTGAGCACAACTTTGACAATTTTGACTACTCTAGCTCAGGTTGGAAGGGGTTGTAGGTCAGGTTTATGACTCTTTGGATGTTCAGGTCCAATGAACATCAAACAGTAATATTTCATGTTGCATAATATACATGTTGCTCCCTTGTTTGAGTGGCAAATATTGGCAAGTTTCTGAACAACAGACACAAAATACTATTGTGAATATTCTTATTTACTAATGTTACTTACCCCATTGACAGGATATGTATTCCAGTCCAGTTCGCCTAGCACTGTTGTAGTGTCCAACAGAACCACTAGAGAGAATGGGGTGGAGAAAAGAAAATCATGTAAGTTGGAGAAGAAAAGTTGGAAGAAGGACAATATAACATAAAGTGTGACATGAGAGGGGAAGAGAGAGTGTGAGATATGTTGGTCAGTGAATTTAAAAAGAAGTGAAATAGAGGTGACAAAATAAGAAGGGAGCAGACAATAGTTATCAAGCTGTCAATGAGGAGCAGACAGAGCTGTAAAGCCCTTATCAGATTCAACCAGCTATGAAATAACAGCTTTTAGGAAAGAACACCAACACTACCACCTGGAAGTCTGGCAGATTAGTACTCTCCTTCTCAGAGGTCAGGAGTGTACATCAAGATGAACCAAAGATGCGTCAAGGAGAAAGAAAAAACTTCAAATATTTAACAAAAGAAATATGACCTAATGAAAGGATAACAATAGCCAATTTAAGACAAATAAGTTCATCTTTTATCAATGGGGACAACCTTTCCATTAGGAACAATACATTATTGGAATCTCACTAAAGTGCCATTGAGCCATTTTATTCATCTCTTGATAGCAAAGCCTTGTATCCCAAAAATGATGCCCATATTGGATGATTACTCACAATTTAGGTCCAGTTGCAACTATCAGTACCAATGTGCTTGGAATGCTGGTTAAGTGTACGGTAAATCTTTCATGCAGGAGGGGAGTTTGCCTTAAGCAACATATCTATCTTTTTATTAACAACAGTCATTCCTTAGACATGTGTATTAGTTGCCTTACTCTAAACATAACATATTGTTTTGCCATAATTAAATCACCATTCTGTAGTTGACATGCAAATATGTTATAGAGTGATAATTAAAAAAATATACATATTAAAAGTCACTAAAAGTAATCCAGGGTTTTGCAGTTTCATACAATATTGACGTTCCTGTTTTGCGATAGCTGCAATGAGATGTGTGAACATGTTTTGTCAAATTGGAAAAGTGTTGTTATGTACAACAATAAATGGATTAGTGAACAGATGAGTGCACAAGACGATCTGGGCCTCATTGTTCTAAAAGGCAAATTTGCACTGCAGAGGTTATCCCCAGTAAGCAAACAAGGAAACGCATGATGCCAATCTGAACACGATCCAGTGTGACAAAACAAAAGGTAGATGGACAGACAGATGAAAGACAGATGAACCGACTAATTATATGTTTTAATGATGAGGGACAGCCACTTTTTGCATTTTGGCTTAAGATTTTGTTCACATCTGTCTACCTCATGTCCAATTCCGACCGTACAATATTAGCCTAACCCTCTGGCAGACTTGGGGCTTTGCTCATTTTAGTAATAAAAGAAGCGTTGCTTAACTGGAAAATAAATACATTTGAGATACATTGCAATCAACAACAAGAGTAACAATTCATATTACTTTTCCCTTTTGTCTGGTTTTGCAAACAATAGAGTGGTGAAGTAACGAGCCCTAAAACCCGAAGTGAGTTAGCATTTTACCACCTCCGGTTCCCTCGTCTCAGAGCCAATGGGATTTATCCATAGGATTTTGGAAAATAGCTGGAAATAAGGTCTGTGGTTGACACAAATTCAAGAGATGGATCACATTTTGTTCTATGACCTTAAATACATCAGCAGTGACCCCACTGGTGATTCCTGAAGAGTTTACGTGTCCGGAAAAAGACGGTTGTTAACAAGTGGCTGAATAGGACTACAGAAGTTGTCGAGGACGTTGTACGTCATTACGCCGAACACGTAAACACTCCTTCTAAGTTTGTTTGCCCTGTTCTGCTTGAAAGCAAGTACTTGCCTCTGGCAAATTGTTAAAACAAACGCTTCAACTTGTACAATTTTGAATCTGTATTTATGAACATCGATCTCAAGTTGGCGTGACGTTGAAGTCGTGCGACCCTGCTGTAGTTCGTTTATAGCATAACGTTAGTATTTTACTTCTGGCGATTAGATTTATGATTCGAAAATTAAAAAAGTAGGGTAGACATGTGGATATTATCCGGCTGAACAAAATGTGCATTTATCAAACAGGTTCGTATTCCACAGACCTTATTTCAAGCTATTTTCCAAAATCCTATGGAGAAATCCCATTGCTTTTTTGTCGAGGGAACCCATGTGCATCTTACTTCCGGGTAAATACGTCATCCCTGCACCACTCTATGCAAGTCGTGAAACAGCTTACCTCTGATTCGTCCATTTCTAAAGTTTAGCATCGCTCGGCCATGTCATGCCAAGAAGGACTATAGCTAATTTGACACGGTGAGCATGTTAAAATAAGTAAACATGTTGTATTCTAATCTTGCCATTAGTGTTAGGTGTTTTTTTTTTGGATGAGCATGTTAACAACTGTGACCACATTGTGTACATACAGGTGTAACATCCTCGATCTGTCTGCACTCTGGTCACGGCTCAGCGCTAAGCCCCCTCAGCCAATTTGATAGGATGAATGTGCAATTTCCTTTGTCTCCAAACAGCCAGTTAATTACAATCTCTAACAATAAAGTGCGTCCCACTTATGCAGTCGACACTCTAGACGAAGGAGTCACATCTTCAGACGACCTGTCACTCCAGTTTACGGCGGACTTTGCCAAATCTGGACTAATTTAATGGGGTTGCCTCTGTTTTGAGAGCAAGTCAGATAACCAGAGCAGATACACTTTGATGAGACTAAATGAACCGCTTCAGTATTTACAGAGACTTAATATAGCCTTGATCCCTTGCTGGTAATTAAGGGCTGAGTTATAATAAAATGGCCTTGGTTCTGTTCAAAAGTTGGACATAGAGAGGAGAGAAAAAGAAATACTGTGAGATTTGGATTTTTTACTTAATTAGCCAAGAAAAAAACAATCCTGACTGATGACTGATCCGTTCCATATCATGTTTGAAAGCAGAAAACTTTTCCCAACAACTCCCTTCACTGTGTTTCTGTCCGTTTCTTACACACACACTAACACTCACACACACACACAAAACATACATACACAGTATCGTAGTCATAAAATAATTAAATTCCTGCTACTGTCTTTACAGCCAGGAAATAATAGATGACCCAAGACCACGGTGCTGAATTTGATACACAGATTTTTATCACTCAGGAGGAAAGCAAATCACATTACTCCTGTCTGGGTATTGTGTCTGGGAGCATAGTAATCTGCAAATATCTTTTGCTATAGGACCATCGGATAAATATCACATTTCAGAAAGATGGTGGGTACAAATAATCTCTATAGCAATAAATTGCCCCATTTTCTCATGTGATCTCTTACTGATACACTTGCAATGCGGTTACATTGTCGGGTGCACATGTTCATTGTGTCAGCAAACAAATGCTTAACAATCAAATCCTGATGCTTTTTCAGCTAATCTGTGGCATTCAGTTTGTTTCTACCTGCTTGAAGCTCACTCACACACTCAATTTGTAATAACTGTCCTGTTGATAGGCGGTTGCTTAGCTATAAATCCTTAACGCCTAACTGCTTTTATAGGCATATTGTTCTATCAAAATGAACAAAAAAGTTTGAACCAGTAACAGAGTAATCTTAGCATCTGACCGTGAACACAGTCCAAAACAAAGACAGTGTGAACGTCACGGCTTCAATGTCACAGGAGAAAAGAACTCAACGTGTTGCTGGATATTTTTGCAGATAAATCAAAGACATAAAACTTAAAAGTGGCTTTTTTTTTGTTTTGGAGAGAACCAGGCTAACTTTTTACACCTTCTTCTAGTTATACGTTATTGGATTATATTGTGATACATTTTTTTGACCTTATACTTGCCAACACTCCTGCACCAAATATTATTGTCTTGTGTCCACATGCACCACATGTCAATGCCTCACCTACTTACTATAGTGGCATAGATTACACACATCTCTTCAGTACACAGCCTTCTATTGAGCGATACATATTTTTAAACTTGCTCTGGGTGACTACATGCGGCTCATGAACACTCAAAATTAAACCAAGTTAGTATTTGTCTGAGTCTATCCAAGAAGACAAGCTTGGCTTAAATCCGCCAGAGACAACAAATTATATAAGGGTCCTCTTTTTTTTTCTGTTTCTAGGATGTGGTGACAGAAGACCATTGGGAGAGGAACAGTCATTATTTTCTTTATGAGATGATGATAAAAGTTGACATATTAAAATAGGAAAACAGTGCAGCATCTGCCCCGACGCTACTGTTGCGTCAACTGTTACCGAGATGTCCGACCGATCCTTTTAAAAACACACTAGATAAAGAAAGGTTTAAGTATATAGTCGATTAAGGAAATCATTTATTTACAGCTAATTTGCACAGTTTTTGTGAAGACATTTGATTGGGGCATGTATACTTTTTGTACTTCTTAAACTAGAACTGGCCTAATTTGACACAATTGATAGTAAAGTATCTTTATATTGACTGCATTCACAACAGCTAAAATACCAATCAATATCATGTTATATACAAACTACATCTCATCTCTCTCACTTCCCTCTGAATGCATTCATATTCAATTCACATTCACTAGCAAACTCACTCAGATAAACTGCATCAGCTAACATATAGAAAAGCCTGCTCTTACTCAATTCTAAACTCCTCACGTTGTCTTTTTCTAAAGATTCCCCTGTGCATCCCCTCGCCTTCAAACCTGTCACCACCACGGGCAGACAGGCATCCTAAGGGGAACACTGAGCAAACACACACACACACACAAAAAAAAAATGAAGTGAAGGAGACTTTGACATTTGGCTCCTGTAGTCTTTGAAAATGTGTATCCTAAACATTAAACATTCAGGAAGGAATATTAAACTGACCCCTGCAAATGTGCGAGGTGGAATATGTCAAGAACAGATAACATCATGGAAACCCATTTCCCATGTGACTTATGATATGGACTGAATGTAGATTAAATCATTATGACCCATGTTTCTCATAAATATGCAACATGCTGCCCATATGACTAGAAAATACATTTTGAAAAGCAGGAAATTATTCTGTGTAAACTCCAACACAATAAATAAATAATGTTTTGAAATAATTATAGCTAAAGTAAAGGGAATCTGGTGTGGCCATTATTGAAAGATATTATCAGCTATGAATGAACTCAGCATGGGGGACAGAAACAACTCTAAATTATGACTACATTTGACAGAGTTGGCCAGAGGCTGACATTTACTGTAACACTCTGTGGTCTCTGGCTTTGCCCATGTTTCTGTGCACTCAGATTTGGATGGTGAAGTATCAGAGCCTTAATAATTTGGGTGATGGAGATCTCAATCTGTACCGCCCACAGAACCCAGGTATAAATGTGTGCATTTTGATTCTGTAAATGTATGTCAGCAACATACTGTAACATTCAAATACTTTGAGATGAAGTGGATAACAATGTACTAAATGATGACTTCCATTGGCATGTTTAGTCTTTTAAAGATGGGTGCTCTAGTTGTACAGCATCAGTTATTAGTATAGAGGAATGATATCAGGAAAACTGAAATGTAATGCTGTCAATGTGGTTTTTTTGTATAGGAGATTGAGCGTGTTGGAAAAGTGGCCAAGATATCGCAAGATACATATGGCATCAATGATTGGATGAGATTAGATCTACAAGAACCATTTTTTTTTTGACAAATTCAGAGTAAGATTGATACTGAAAGTAACCAACACGTGATTATTACTGCTAAAGATGAGTTTCTTAAACTAGCCTTCAGTATCAGTGAGGAGTACCGTGAGCCTCTGCTAAGATCAATGAACTTGATTCCAACACATCGACTATATCACATGCATTTTGAAGCTGTACATTTTTTTATGTGGATTCCTTGTTAACTTCTGAATCAAATAAATATATTTAGTGAAGGACTAGGTGTGTGAGTTATTATTAATACTGCCATATGTTAAGTCTTTCAGTGATGTGTGTGATCAGGACAATGGATAAAAAGGATTACCAACATTGTTGAATGCATTTTTAGGCAACACATGCATACATGTGTGTTGTTCTATATAGATTCATAGCCAGATCAGAGCCAACACATTGTTATACTGCCATTTTTAGTGTACAAGGTGTTGTGTAAGCTTTAAAGTATTGTTATGTAAGATACTGCAACACAGACTCATATATATTGGTTCACACAACATATTTAAATATTTGACATACATTTTTAGGCTATAAATAATGAAATTGTTTAAATTGTTTGCACATTTCAAACCAAACCTCCACTCAACAAAAAAAAAAACGATGCTATAGGGTCCAATCAATGTCGATGTATTCGTTGTTGAATAACTATACATTTACATTTATGGGGAATGTTAAAACACCTGAGGTAAAAAAATAAGTCACCCAGTGTCATTCTATCATTATGGATACAATTAAGACTTTATACTGTTACTTTAGCCTAGTGTCACCTGTGAAAAGATTACACTTAACCACAATAAGGTGACTGCATTAGATTTATTAACTATTCTTATTTTGTTTAAAGTGTATATATGTTAATGCATACATACATACATTCATGGTATAGATTGAACGGCACAAGATTAAGTTACCTTGTGCGTAATGGAGAGGGCAGAGGTTCCGTGTTTCTGGAAATACTCAACATTTGTCAGATTTGTTGCACCCAACCTTGTTCTTAAGTTTGTGGTTTGAATGCTCTTTGTACTCACCCTGGTTTGTGGTTCCCGGGTCCGACAGAATACTTCTGAACAGAAACAAAAGCACACAGTATTTCCCCCCGGAGCACATCGTTGAGTCAGACACAAGTGCGCTCGGAACTAAAACGCTGCACAGACTCCTAAATAGATCCCCAAAAGGGAAATATGGGGTTTCATGTAAGAGGCTACTGAAATCGTCCCCGTACGCACACTCAGAAGGTCACTCTCAGATCCATAGGAGTTCTTATTCATTTCTCAGCCATCCCAGACGATATAAACGGCCAGCCATTGAGCGCAAAGAGCCCGATTGCTTTAGCTGTAGCGAGTTTAACAACTAACAAAAATAAGTGGAGTAGTGTCCGTGTCTTAAACTCAAACAAGGACAGTTCGCAGGGTGCAGAGTATCCCCAAAGTGTCCCAAAGTAGTAGTGTTTAAGTCAATTAGTTTGACAGTTAATATTGGTACCCCTATTATCGAGAGAGAAAAGGGAAAATCCCGGACTTCCCGCTTCACTTTCAGCCAATGCATCCCTCACTGTGTCTCTGCATCCGTGCGTGCATCTACCCCCTCGCTCTCTCTGTCTATCTCTCTCTCTCTCTCTCTCTCTCTCTCTCTCTCTCTCTCTCTCTCTCTCTATCTATCTCTCACTCTCTCTCTCTCTCTCTCTCTCTATCTATCTCTCCCTCTTTCTGGCGCAAGCTGAGGAGCCGATTTTTAAATCACTATCTCTCCCTCTTCTCCTGGCGCAAGACTGAGAGCGATTTTTAAATCGACAAAGATTCATTGCGCGGGCACGTTCTCTAACTTCGGTCTGTGTGAATCTCTCCTTTGCTTTCTTGTAAACGCGCGGCGTCAGTCCTTCCCATCAGAGCCAATGCGCGGGCTTCTCTGTTATTGATTCAGGGGGATACACCTGGGCGGGAAAGGAAGGAAACTATGAGCCATTATAACAGTCAGTGTATCATCTGTGCCATGAATGTTAGCCTAGGTTATACCCTGCATTGGATTATGTTTTGTTGGAAAAAAAAAAAAAATTAGTAATGCTGTCTGGCCTAGGTTTCATATTTATGCGCTGGCAGGAGAGGAAAGGCGGGAGCAGACTAATAGTATAAGTTGATTATTGCGGCTAATTTTGGTGGCGGTTTTAAGCCTGCACACCACACATTTAATTTACACTTCATTGCTGTGAGTGAACATTATTAAAAGCTATAATGCAGCCTATTCAAGTACTGCTAATTAACTGCTTCCTCTTGCCATGACGCGAACACAACGGGGGGTACCCTAGTTCTATAAGCACAGGCGGATGCCCTCTACTGGACTCTATGGGTACTACTCTCATCAATGATACGCCGAGCGTTTCACACACTGAAGTTGTACAAACATAGCGCGGCCAATCCAGGGCCGAGCCCTAACCTGGAATGGTGCGCCGCACACAGTATATAGGCCGGGCTACACCTCCTGACTGTCATCCTACCCTTCTTCAGTGGCGGCCCATAGGAAAGAGGGCCTAGGCTAGAGGGCTTCCGTAAGCGTTACAGTACGTAAACGTTCTATCTCACACAGGCTCCGCTCCTCTTTACTGGGACTCTATGGCGTACAGTGGGTTGGAGCCCCCGATGCTATAAAACGCGCCTGTTCGTCCTACAACACCGAGTCCGGGGCCACGACCTGGGGCCCATGACCGGGCCTTTGCGTTAACAGCCACCGCGCACCCCAACTTCGCTATCATCCGGTTGTGGACCATAGAGAAGTTGGCCGCAGTCTTACCTGCTGGGTTAGGCCTAATTGGTCGTGAATAACCCCCTAGCTCACCCCTGTGGGTGCCAGCACAAGTGACCATACACTGCGCACTAGTTTTCCCAGAGGGCCTAGAGCATAGAATGTAAGTGACGTGTCCATCACACTACACGCTTACCTCGTGCAGAGTGTGCATGGCTGCACCTCAGCATGACTACACCTCGAGCACCACAATGGAAGATCCTGTTGCGGGGAGGAGGCATGAACACTGGGCGCTGTCTCCTGACCCCCTGCAAAAAACGCGACATAAGCGGTTGACTAAAGGCTGACCTGCCGCCAAATCCCTCATGGTAGGACGAGATGGCTGCTGCATAATTGTGGAATGAGCAAGCTCCCTGTCCACCAGTATCTGTAAATAGGACAGAATAGAGTACATGATAGAGGCTCTAGACTCCTTTCTTCACACCACCGCTGGAATCTCAACCACTTCATCCTGTAACAGGCTGTGGTGGATCCTGCTCTTGCTGCCTGGATAGTCTGAATAACTTTGTCAGACAGTCCCTCCCGTCTCAGCCTGTCCCTCTCAGGAGCCAAGTCTGGAGAGGTTGGCCCAGAGTGGGTAACGTCCCTATTGCACCTGCTTCCTGAGACAACGCCCCCCCAGACCTGAGGAACCGTCCAGGGCTGGCCCACCATCATCTGTGTCACCTCTGCGTACCACGGCGCCGAGCGGCGACTGACAATCGTTCTCGTCTCACCCTCTCCAGGAGGAGAATGACACGCAGCGGTGGAAAGGCGTAGAACATGTAAATAGGACAGAATAGAGCCCAGTGTACCGGACAGAGGCTCTAGACTCTCCTCCTCGCACCAACGTTGGAATCCCAACCACTTCGTCCTGTAACAGGCTGTGGTGGATCCCACTCCTGCTGTCTGGATATTCTGTATAACATTGTCAGCCAGTCCACCCCTTCTCAGCCTGTGCCTCTCAGGAGCCAAGCCTGGAGAGTTTGGCCCAGAGTGGGTAATGCCCCTATTGCACCTGCGGTGGAAAGGCGTAGAGCAGCCATCTTGGCCATGGCTCATGTGCAAACGTGTCCACCCCCAAAGGTGGATTGTCCTGCCGAGCCAGGGAGAACCACCATTCGTCTGGCAGGGGCCCAGCTCTTGACATGAGGCCGGCCCCCCTGTTCTCCAGTCCCGGAATGTGGGGGGCCTTTAGAGATAAAAACATTCTCTGAGGCCCACAACCACAGGTTCTCCGCTGCGCTAAACAAGGCAGCGGAGCTGACTCTGTCCTGCCTGTTGAGGTAAGCCTCTGTGGTGCGGTTGTCGCTCCTCACCAGCACATGTAGTGCCCTGTAGTAAGGGTTTGCAGTGCTGTAGGAGCAGTACTACTGCCCGTAGCTCTAGAAGGTTGATGTGCCGAGTTTCTGTCAGAGGCCACCCACCACCTATCACCTACACATCCACTTGACGTGGATTCTAAAAATACAATACACACCTCTCGCTAGGACTCTAATCAAAAAGCATTTTAATGGCCAAACTATCCTACAATTTAGGATTTTACAGAGAGGGTTATTTGTGAATAAATGACCCTCTGTAACGTTTGCAGTCAACGGGGGCACTAGAGGTCGAAAACTTTAAAACGTGATTATAGGTCGTACTAAGCGCTTGAACAATCGACCTATTTGGTCGCATTAGTTGTTGGTACAATAACGTACGATAACTAATAATAACCATAATCTTCCAATTACTTTTGTTTGGCACGATTGGGATGAAAGCCCTTTTGTTTTTATGATTTTATGTTGTAAGTCTTGTCTTCCACTCTGCTTTATCCTCAAATTCTACCTGCTGTTTGAGAGACTATGTGGCTATTGATTATAATGGTCAATTGTAAACCATTTACCTCTCTACAGAGTAAAAGGAGCATAACAGCTTTCTACAGTTTCATAATTTCACTTTTGCCCTACAAGCGGTCCACAGGCTGTCAATTCCAATGTTCTGTCCATCTGTCCAAACAACACATTTGTTCAAAGCATGATATCTTAACAAAGGTGGCATATTACAGACTTTGGTGTGAATATTATTAGCATTTCCTGCAAGATAATTTGCTATTTGTGCAGTTTCAAAAGTGGCTGAAATTCAACAAACAGTGTTGTGGGTATTCATTTTCAAGAAGATCCTGTCTCTGTTTTAGGTGACTATCTGACCAATGGCATAGCTTCAATTTCAGGCCAAACTTTCCTCTGGAATTTATAAAGGATTGTATTAACTTACTGCTGTTGTTACATGTCTTAGCGATTAGCCCATTTTATTTTTGCTAAAGTTGTTCTAAGTCTTTTGTTGAGAAATTACCTCATGACGTCCCTTGAAAAAGAGACTCAGTGGCTGTTTCTCAATGTTGAGTAAACCTGCTGCAGAGCCACTATTTCAAGTATACTACGTCATCGAGTGGCGCCATGCATTTAAACAGTCCTTCGGCGCCACTCAATGACGTATTATACTTGAAATAGTGGCTCTGCAGCAGGTTTACTCGACATTGAGAAACGGCCAGTGTTGAGGCTTGCGACTCTATGCTACATTAGCTGCTACAGCATCTCTGGTCCGTTGGTGGTCAGAGATTATATCATGGGTAATGTTGGCAGAAGGTTTTTAAGGGAAAATGTGTTGCATAAAAAAGGTGATACCCTGGTTTTGTTGCTTAGATGAGACACAACCTTTAGAGATATCACTCTCATTTACATATTTAAACAAAATATACTGAGTGCATTTGCGCTCCACAGAGAATTCATTTTAAACACTAAAAAGTACAATTTAGCTTTTGCCTGAGATCCCAGGATGTGTTTTTATTACATGTGCCAAGTGCAAGGACTGTTTTAGGTACTACAGCTTTTATGTGTGCTGCTCCTCTAGCTTGGAACACTATGCAAACATTTTTGAAACTGAGCATGTTGGTTCCCTTGCATAATTTTAAAGCTCGGATAGATGAAATGTTATTAAGATATCTGTCATTGTGAATAGGTTGCTAATGTATACCCCTGTAATTATGTTGTATTGATGTCCTTTTTGTTTTTATGTGTAACCAATGTGCTGCAGGTCTCCCTTGAAAAAGAGATCGTTGATCTCAATGGGATGTCAGTTCACCTGGTTAAATAAAGGCTACAAACAAACAAACAAACAATTGTAAAAACATTACCTGTAGCTCATAGCTGTACTTTTGAACGCATACAGTAATGGCTAGTACTGGATAACGATTTGTTAGAAATGCAAATCATCTTGGATGAGATTTGTCTATTCTCCAATGTATTATATCTATAATGCATAATGTAAAAGGATATCATGGATTCCTGCTGAGGGGCCATGAAGAGACAAGGCTAACACACATGATGCTCAGCAGCTGAATCATGCGCTGACTAACAATCAATTATTCTAATGAATGATGCTGAGTGAAGGGCTACAGCCCCCACTGTCTTTCAATCAACGTCTATAATTATATTTGCTGTGTCAAAGAGCGGTATCAAAAATAAAAAAAAGCTTGAAGGTGAACTCGTGCTTCTTCGAATTGAAAATTGACACCGCTTGTTGCTCCAGACACTGAAATATATTTTATATTATTATTAATATTTGATTGTGTTGCACTGTTGGAGGAGCCTGTGACATAAGATTTATCATAACTACACTGTAGCTATGCACGTATGACCAATAAAAGCGTTTAGCCTATTGAACCGGCTTCCTCTTATATATTTTGGGTCTTCAAAATCCCTCTAGCTCTTGCACACTT